TGGAGTGCTCACCCTGTAGGTAAATCATACTGATTTTCAACTAAAAGAAACTAATCCCTAGGCAACTAGGAGTCATACTAAAGGTAGCACAGGCTCATAATGTAGATTTTCCAACAATTTAATCAAGATGCAATACCAAGACAGCAGTGATATGCTAGAAAATCCCCTTATGCCTATAACAGTGGAAGTCCACACTGGAAAAATAAGGATTTAACTTATTAAACTATAAGATTAGGGTAGTACTCACCCTCAGACAAAGTTAGTGGCACTGGACTTCCTCAAACACTGCCTCTGCCAAATGGGTTTACACAGACCTCAGCTGAAACAAGCCCAGTAACCACTTCCATCTCAGGATGCCAGGACAAAGGGCAGTACTGTGGCCCTAAGTGAGAGCTTCGGGATTGCCAGCACCTGATTCAAAGCACAGATGTAGCCAATGCTCAGCAGCACTCCCAGGCAAGGCACGCCAGGTGAAACCAGCACAGAAAGGTGCTAACACACAGGTATTACCATGGCTGAACCAAGGCTCTCTTCAATGACACAGCCTTGAGGCTTAAATTCACCTTCTGCACCAGGACCTGTATGTAACTTACATGTTTTCATTACTGTTTATAGAAATTGCTTGTGCATACATATTTCTTGTGGTGTTTTATTTCCTATCTGACTCTGGCCCTTATTTTTCAACTCATGAGTTATAACAATTTTGCTAAATAAAATAAAATGGCACTATGTCCCAATTAGGAACTTGATGGCACTTTGATACAAGAACCCTCAAATCATGAGGCTGATCACATTACCCAATCTATCACTGCATGCATGCATACCCACATGGTCAGCAGGTCACACAAGGCAGCCCTCTTAGGTCCCTAAATACTCTTTCCTGTGGTCAATATCCTTTCCCAATCCTCAAGATCAAGTCCACATTTTTGTGTTTGCCATGTCCCATTAGAGGTAGATAGATAAGTTGAATCCATATTCCAGACTGAAACAGTTCATTGCCACTATTAGTTCAAAGTTGCAGGAAAAAAAGAAAATTTCTCTCTTTATACCCACAGAGAAGAAAAAAAAAAAAAGGCTTTCAAGGTATAGAGGTGATCCTAGGGCCCTAAAAGTTTGAAAACATCTCTCACCATAGTTTGCTTCCAGACTTAGCAATTTGCTCTGTTACTCTTCCCTGCAGGCCAATGTCTGAATTTTTGACAGCCTATGGACCTACTCTTCCAAAAGTCACAACCTCTGCTTCAAAATCTAGCAGAGACTCCTGTCTGTTCCTTATTTCACATGCTTGAAACAAGACACTGCAGACAGCCTGTGAAGTATCCAACAAACACCCCAGTCTGAATATCCCATTCCCTGCTGTACCAAAAGGAGACCTCACAGTCCCCAAAAGGAGTAAGTATGTGTGCTAAGGATGACTTGCAAGAAAACAGATTTTAGAGCCCAGACCCTAGAAACTAAAATTCAGTGGGATCTTCTTTCAAATAAATGGGATAGACTGCTTGTGGTCTTAAATGATATGCTGTTGGGTTTTTGCTTTCTGCAAAATTCCAATTTCCTCTCAGACATTGGTTAAATTCCTACAGTAACAAGAGACTCAGAGCAAACTGTCCCCTGAGTCTACCCTCTCTAAGATATGAGTCTACATAGTACTGAACTATCATAGCACAAATCTTTATGCAGTGCTATTTTCCTATTCCAAGCCACAGCATGATCTATAAACACACTGCAGCAAGGAACAAATATGTAGCCTTTCCCACCTCGAAGCAAGCTGCTGGGAGAGGCAATTATTCCCTGTGATTGACCAGCTTCCTGCATATGGATGTGTGGGTTTTCATTTATTACCTACTTGGTTACTGGCAGAAGGCTGCAAAGGTTCTTCTAACGGGATTTGTTTCTGAGAACAGAATTAAAATAACAGAGAGATAATTTAAATCACAAAAAAAGGCACAATGGCACTTCCCAGTCTTCCTACCTCTGTAAAACAACTAAAAGTTCCAGAAAAATTGCTTGTGATGGATTTCAACCTTTTTGTGCTGTCTGCCCCCTTCTAAATGATATGTGCAAAGGGCAGAAGTCCATGCAATCAAGGCAGAGTAAGGCTTTAAGTAACATGACTTTAATATTCATTAGGTTTTAACTTCTTAGCAACTATTTATGAAATCTGCTATTACATCAGGAGAACAGACTTAAAAGAAAGTCAAATAATCTGAAATTTACAATTTTTACCCCAGCAGAAACACTTTGGGCTATATTTAGAACCCATCCTGACAGCTGGGTTGAAGTGACCTGCCAATCCCTCCACAGAAAATATCAGAAAATAACTACATCCAGAGCTCATGGAGGACAATTGTAAAGAGAATAAATTTGTTGCAGAAATAAAAACCATGTACTAAATATTCAGTCTGAAAAGCATTTTTCATCACAAGACATTGCATATGCCCCTACTAAGTCTAAATGAAAATGGAGTTTTCCTCAAATCAGGATTATCAAAAGTTCTTAAATATTTCCTTGGCTCAAAGACTACTACACAGGGAATTATACTATATATTGTATTAATATGTGAAGAAGTTTCCTACAGGAGAGAAGGAAAAAGGCCACTCCAATGCTCTTTCCATCTCCACAGCAAGTACAAGATGACCTGTGGTCAGGTCCTCTCTATTGGAAAGGAAATTTTTTCTTGGTCACTCTTTGTTGTACATGGACAGGCTATTTCCCAAGAAAAGGAATGTGACAAAGTACTTTTTAAAAGATATATGGTACAAGTAACTATACATCCTCCAGGTAATTTATTAAAAATACAAACATATCAAAAAATCAGTGCTATGAAACACTGTTTGTAAGACATTTTCTTAAATTATTTAATTAGGTGAATTATCTTCTGCATGATTCAGAAGCATGCAGCATCTCATACTGGATCTTGGGAAGACAAGAGGCCGTAAATTTCCGGGATACTTTCAAGCGCTGCTGTGCACCGCTGTCCTCTGCTGGAAGAGCCTCCTCACTGGTGTGTGAGGGTGACCAGCCTCTGGTGGCAGTCGCTGACACAGAGCACAGGTGACATAAGCAACAGCACCTCATCTTCATTCCCGTTTAAGCCCCACATGCAGGCTTGGGATGGAATGCCATCAATTCTGTTATCTGTCCAATGTAGCTATGTAAACATCAAAGATGTTTGCAGATGCCCTGGATGTGAAAAATGCCAATCACTTGTTTTTAAAATTTTACGCGGGGAGAGCGGCCGGTGGAGCTGGCTGTGCCTGCAGCCCGGCTCCGGGTTTGGGCAGGGAGCGGCGGTGGCAGCGGCGGGCCCGGTGTCCATCCCGGTGTCCATCCCGGCGTGCGAGTGCGTGAGGCATTGGTGCAGGCGGCGCTGGTCGCCGCGGCTCGGGCAGCGCTTCCTGTGCGGGGAGCTACGGCCGGGCTGCTCCGGCCCACAGGAGCGCGTCCTCCAGGTTATTCTGGCCCAAAAGGGGCTTTCTCTCCCCGTGGAGTAGAGACTGTCTCCCTTGTGAGATACGGGCGGCGTGCCTGAAGCAGAGCGTTTTGTTTCTGCTGCAGCTGAAAGTCACGGCCTGGACGAGTTCTCCTGTTCTCTGGTGTCCCACGGTGTCTGCACAGCTGATCGCTAAAGGAAAGTTGTGCAGACAGCGGCTGAAGAGTGCTGCTGGTTCTGTAGAGACACAGATCGACACCACCCGTGAACAAACACGGCAGGAAGCCCCAGGTGCTGCATCAGTGTTGTTGAAGGACTGACTGGTGCACCTACCTTTACCTCTGAGTGTAAGCCAACACACTGATTAGGCAAAACCTGGTGTAATTTTTAATGCCATGATATGACAGAAAGGCATTTCTGAAATTTGTCTCCCAGATGTAAAAGAGAGCCCTCATTATTTCTTAAACCTTGAGGCATTTGTATTGTCACTGAAAATACTTAAGACTAATACTGTTTCAGTTGAAGAAAATGTATAACTTCTTTAAATACCTGAACCTTAATCTTTATGATGATATTCTTCTTCCTAAAGCATCAGTATAAGTGGCATCTGCATCAGTAGATTGGTGTTTGTAGGGATGTTCTCAGCTGTTGGAGGGCAGATGGAGAACTAAAATCTTGGCAGTGTAGAATGTTCGCCTTTGGAAGGAACACTGTACTTGATATATTTGTTTGATGTTTTTCCATAGCATGCTTATCTCCTATAGCTGTCTGGGTACTCATACTGCTGAAGTGTTCTGCCACAGAAATGCGATTTCATCAGTGAAATATTATTTGTGCCACTTCATTTGGACAAGGCCAGATAATTACTTACAGAAACTGTCAAGCAATTCATACTGTAAAGGTGACCTTTTTCTCTTGTCCATATAAAGGTTATGGATGTGAGAATTGCAATTACTTTTTCGATGATATGGAGAAGCTTTATTCTCAGAATACATTCAGAGAACAGTAGCTCTCTAGTTGAAATGATGATTTCTCTATTACCAGATTACTAATGTTTATGCTAATATTCTACTAACGCTGCTCTGGAGAGCCACCTTTCCCAGCATGCAAGTGTCTATCTGACAGAGAATACATAATTTATTATGCCACCTGTCTGTTGGAGATTTATCAAACTACCTGAGAAGTAATTCATATTTATGATGATTTGGGGATTTTCACAAGGCACCAAATTAGGGTTCATCCAGCATGCAAGTGTGCCTCATTAATTTCTCTGAGATTTCTCGCGTAAGGAAAAGTTAAAAATTTTAAGCTATTACATTTTTTATGACATTCTTTTTTGCATATAATGAACACTGCCATATAGTCCCTGCAGCCTCTGTTCTCCAGTATCACAGCACAGCTTTTCCTATTACAGTGTAGATGTATTTGCAACATTGTTTACAATATTTTTACAATTACAATTTAATTTTTTTTCATAAATTAAACATTCCTAATTCTTTATTTCTAGGCTTCCATGGTTTTTAACATCATCTGTATTTAAATTGTTTCTCCCTTCCCCTCTTTCCTTTTCAGCCTTGCTCCGTGGGTACCAGTTGTGGGGCTGGAAATTCATGCACAGATCAGCTCGAACTCAAAACTCTTCTCTGGTTCCCAAGTCCAGTTTGCAGCACCTCCCAACTCTTTGGTATCTTTCTTTGATGCCTCTTTGCCAGGAACTTTACCAGTAAGTTAAGCTGCAGTTTCATTTATGTCAGGATTTATGTCAGACAACTTTGTGTATGCTTCTAATCTTTTATTTTTCCCAGGATTTGACTAAAGTCATATATATGACTACTTTTGCTTACTTTTCTAATTTCTGTTTGTTTCATAACATGAGATGCCTGGAACTGTTTCTTTTCACTTTCCTCACTCCCTAGTTATTGCATCAGATACTTTATATCCCCTGCAAAGGAGAAAAATCGGGAGTGTCTCTTCAACACAGGGAATGGGTTGTGGTATTTCTTTGAGGCCAGAGTGGGTGTGTTTGCTTAGTATGCCACACAGGAAATTCCTTAAATATGAGAGATGCCTAAAGCCCAGTGAGAGAAGAACATCTTAGATTTCTGAGTGGCCATTTGATGTTATTTTGCCATATGTTTGTTTATGTAGCTGTCATTTGCCATTTGGAATGTCTCACTGAGGAGTTACTTTGTTTCCTGAGTAGAAAGTCTCCAATTTAGGAAAGTGTCAACCATTCCTATTTCCAGAGCAAAGCAATTATTTAAAAAAAAAGTAATCTGTGTGAGACATTGGGGATTAATGGGTCAGAATAACTAGCTAGCACTTGGCAATAAGGTTTATTAGTGAAAACTTAATAAGTGTTTGAATTCACAGCTTAATTATAACTGTGATGGCTATGACAGTACTGCTGTGGAATTCTCTGAGTTTCTAACAAGTTAAAAATAAAAGTTAAAAAATTATAACATAAGCTCTTACAATACAGTGAAAATAAATATTTAATAGACTTAGCATTGCCACATGCAACAACTCTGCAGAGACTGAGATGGGGTCTAATTATTTAAAACAGAAACATTTCACTGACTATATTCATTAAAGTGCGGATTTGAATTCCAGTTACAGAAATGTATTTTTAGATCTAGTTGAAGCTTTTCATCATCATGAAACAGCCTCAGATAATCTAAAATTGAGAACTAATTTGTGGCTGGATGTTTAAGGTCTTGATATATGTCATGATCCTTAAAAGGAGAAATTATGTTGTTATTATTATTTTATTTTTATTTCTGTATTTGCAAAGGTATTGAAAACTAAGGAAGTGAAGTTTAGATGCTGATAAAATTGGGACTTTGCTCTGGCTGCAGTGGCAATTCAGAGCTGAGTTTCAGATCTAACTATATGGAAATTCTGAAAACTTCCTGGAGATAATGGGAATCTTATGCAATAATTTGGTTTTAGAAGAGTCTAGCTAGACTTAAAGACAGAAAATTAGTTCCTTTCATTTGGGGGCATGGCTAGGTTAGTCAGAAAATCCAAAAGAGTTCAAGATTCTGGTTTTGAACCTTCTATTTAACCTTCTGTTAATGCACAGAAATTCTCTTAGATTGTCTAGTGCTTATCTTCAGTCAAGTAGAAAACTGTTCTTGAGTGAACAAAAATGAATATTTATGAGGAGGTTAATTTTTCTCTGCATTACTGTTTATCAAGGGTGCAATGTATGTGTGTGTCTTTTTTCTTTATTAATGGGGCTTGGTATGACCTTTGTAAGAAGACCCCAGTACGTGTGGGCTTTGGTAGAGAAAATAACTGCACCTGAGAAGAAAAAATCCAGAATGGATAGCTTAATTTTAAAGTAGTGATGCCATGTTAGGTTCTGCTAGCTGCTTTTATCTATACAAAGAGAATAAGGATTTTTCTTACTGTAGTGCTGGTGGAAATAGAGTTGAAGGTGGATGTTACAAAATACATGTTCCTGCATGTTAGAATCTGATGCAAAATCCAGTCAGTAGTCAGAGCTCTATTTTCCCATTGTACCTGCTGCTGCTGAGAGACCAGCATTTGTTCTGGAATCAGATGGGCTTGTTTTCTCTGTGTAAATTTGTACATGGCAATACTATCTGAAGCAGAATTGAATTTTGGTAGATTTTGAAAGATGGAAGATAATTTTTGAAAATTATTTGAGTATCTGTAGAATAAAACCAAACCAACAAAAGCCATTTTAATAAATGTTAGGTTATTGACTAATAAGAATACTTAGAAGATAGATATTTGGCCTTAAATTTGGACTCCATTTTGTTGAAAAATGAAAAAAATAGCAGTAAAGTTTTTATACAGTAGTTGTGCTGAGTCTAGAATAGAATGACTGTTTTAACCTGAGAACTGTAGGGACAGTTTTCAGTGTCACAGGGATTGAAATTTGCTGTGTGACAACAAGATGGCTGTGATAGAGAGCTGTCCTAGTATTTGCTCCATCACAGTGGGACCAGAAATGATGGTGCTGAAGGCAGCTTTTCAGGTTGCTGTGCATTTCTGGGTCACAGTAAGTGTTGGCATGAGCTTTTGCTGTGCTCTACACAGGAAAGGTGAAACTAGAAGAATGTGTTTAGCCCTCCTCCTGCTTTCCTTTTTATATTTGCTTCCTGTAAGGTTAATACAGCTTATTTTATCCTTCTGCTGCAACTAGGGAGGATCATCGCAGTGGAAGTGCCATGGCCATTTCACTGTGCTGTTCTCATAAAGTGCCTCTGAGAGACAGCTACAGGCAAGAGGAGCTATGCAGGTGCCCTCCTGTTTGGCATGAGACAGAAAAAAATGATCATAGAATCATGTTTGAGTTTGAGCACCAGGGTCCTTACAGCTCATCTTGTTCCAGCTCCCCTGCCATGGGCAGGGACTCCTTCCACGAGACCAGGCTGCTCAGAGATCTATCCAGCCTGGCCTTGAAAAGTTCCAGGGATGGGGCAGCCTGTGCCTTAACACCCTCACAGTAAGGAATTTCTTTGTAACATCTAATCTAAACCTGCCCTGTGTCAATTTAAAACCATGTCCTGTCATTACAAGCCCTTATAAAATGTCATTCTGGCTCTCCTGTAGGCCCTCTTTAGGTACTTGAAAGTGCTGTAAGGTCTCTCTGGAGTTTTTTCTCAATGCTGAACAACCCCAGCTCTCTCAGCCTGTCTTCATAGGAGGGGTGTGCCAGCCCTCTGGTCATCTTCATGGCCCTCCTCAGACCCTCTCCAGTAGCTGCCTGTCCTTCTCATGCTGGGGGTCCCAGAGCAGGATGCAGCACTCCAGGTGGGGACTCACAAGAGTGGAATAGAGAGGCAGAATCCTCTCCCGTACCCTACTGCCCACACTGCTTTGCAGGTAGCCCAGAACATTGTTTGCTTTCTGGACTACAAGTGTTCTTTGCTGGCTCATGCTGTGCATTTCCTCAACCTGCACCCTCAAGTCCTTGTCCTTGGGGCTGCTGTCAGTCTGTTCCCTGCCCAGCCTGTATTGATGCTTGGGATTGCCCCAATCCAGGTGCAGGAATTTGCACTTGACGTTGTTGAACTTCATGAGGTTTGCACAGGCCCACTTCTCAAGCCTGCCCAGATCTCTCTGGATGGCATCCCTGCCCTGCAGCATGTTGGCCACACCACACAGCTTGTTGTCATCTGTGAGCTTGCTGAGAATGCACCTGATCCCCCTGTCCCTGACAAAGACATTGAACAGCTCTGGTCCCAGCTGAGACCACCTAACACTGCTTGTCACTGGTCTCCACCTGGACATTGAACAGATGACCACAGCTCTTTTAGTGCCACCACCCAGCCAATTCCTTGTCCACTGACAGTTTGGGACTACATTTGACTACATGCATTTCATTTAATGTAAGGAAATTTGCAAAAGCTTGGGGTTTTTACCTTGTGAATGGACTTGGCAATGATTTTGGCTTGGTATCTTGAGAAGACCTATTCTATACATGGTAGCAGATAATGCATTACACCTGCAGACTGGACTGAAATTCTGCTGAGGAACCATAAAGGTCATTGCCCTCCCAATCTGATTTAGCCTCTGAAAATTCTGAGAGGCTAGAAAGGTTGTTAAAGCTAAAACTGGGCTCACAGAAAAAGAGTCCATGATTATCTATTTTCATGATGGAGGTGGCTGACTAAAAGTTAATTATAGCTCAGCCAGTGAAATAAGATAGTAGATCTAGCAGCTAAAGGCTGAAACCTTTTTGTCAGTGCTTAGTCTTTGTTGCACATTTTACATTTGTCTCTGGCATGACTGAAGTGAAACCATGATCCTAGTGTAGGCAATCCTTTGTAGGTAAGTATATAAAGAAATAATCTAGGATTAACATATCCAAAGTTTAAATTAATAAGGTTTGAGTTAATATTAGCCCTACAGTCCTAAACATTTTGAATTTTTTTATATCTTCTCATGCATTTGAATTTCATTCTCCTCTTAGCGTGAAAAGCATCTGTTTTATCTTCTTTTGTTTTTTACAACAGACTTTTCAGAAACACTTGGGGCAACCAGATCACTCCTTTTCATGGAAGAGAGCAGTGCTAGAGCAGCTCTCAGCCCTTGTTCCTTGAGGCATTGCAGCTCTGGCACCTTCAGCTCCAAGCTCGGGCTCATCCGAAGCCGGCAGTTTTCAGTGCAGCACTGCAGAGTTGCTGGGAGCACCTGGATCCGGCTGTTGCCTTGCAGTGCTGGGAGCTGAGGGGGCTGCCCAGGCATGTGACAGGGCTAATACCCTGTTTGGGATTATAGAGGGTGTTTCCATCTGTTCTTGGCAGTGGCAGGTACCCAGTGTTTTTCCAGATGTTTTGGGTGGTGGATTACCAGACTTAAATGACATCTACAATTCATCAGAATATACAGGATTTATCTGGTGCCTTTGCTTTCAAAGGCTCTGAGAGGTTTGTGTGAGATTTTGGTGGATCTGTCTGTCAGCTATTCATATTGGAACAGAAACAGCATTTGAGACCAGAGTTTATACTTTACAGCTTGAAACTAGGGGGTTTTTTGTATCCTGTGCCTGTTAAATCTGATGATTGCAACAGCTGCTTTACCAACTTGTGATTTCAGTTTTGTTTTGACATTCCTGCTGGCATGCATGTGAATTTACTCCCTTCTACTACATTGTTTTGAAAAAAAAAACTGCTTCTTAGCTTGACTTTTGATAACTACAGTTTTAATTGCGTGCACTTTTCATGGGGAATTGAACAAGCTTCT